CCTTTTTTTTTCCATGTATTTCAACAAATGGTTTTAACATTGAAAAAATTAGAGATTATTGGAAATAAACAACTTTATTTGCAAAACCTCATCAAATAAAACAATTTTGAAATAATCATCGGTTTTATTAACATTTCAGTAAATGAAAAAAAGTAAATTTCAAAAAAAAAAAATATTACAATTTGTATATGGATATCATTTTTGAAGTATGGTCCTATTTTCAGTGTCCGTCAAGTCTGTAAATTAACCCAGGAATTTGACCTTGATGTTCTGGGTGTCCTTTTTTTCTCCATGTATTTCAACAAATGGTTTTAACATTGAAAGAAATTAGAGATCATTGGAAATAAACAACTTTATTTGCAAAACCTCATCAAATAAAACAATTTTGAAATAATCATCGGTTTTATTAACATTTCAGTAAATGAAAAAGTAAATTTCAAAAAAAAAATATTACAATTTGTATATGGATATCATTTTTGAAGTATGGTCCTATTTTCAGTGTCCGTCAAGTCTGTAAATTAACCCAGGAATTTGACCTTGATGTTCTGGGTGTCCTTTTTTTTCCATGTATTTCAACAAATGGTTTTAACATTGAAAGAAATTAGAGATTATTGGAAATAAACAACTTTATTTGCAAAACCTCATCAAATAAAACAATTTTGAAATAATCATCGGTTTTATTAACATTTCAGTAAATGAAAAAGTAAATTTCAAAAAAAAAATATTACAATTTGTATATGGATATCATTTTTGAAGTATGGTCCTATTTTCAGTGTCCGTCAAGTCTGTAAATTAACCCAGGAATTTGATCTTGATGTCCTGGATGCATGTGTTTTCAGTTGGGATCCTTCTAGCAACACTTGGAGACAGAGGCCTGTCGAAGGGGAAACCCATGGGCTTCTTGTCAGGATACTTTGGTCCTTGGCACCACAGTAGCTCACAGCATCGTTACAGATGGTCTTCACATTAGCTCCCTCAGGCTAAATAACAAAAAGAAGGAATTTAAATGACAAGTTCAGTTTATTCTTTAAATAGGTAAAAAGTTTCTTTAATAGGAAAAGTAAAGGGGGATAAATCAACAATATGAAGTTTAAAGACATTTAAATTTAATGCGAGACTATACTATAATTATCAAACTGTGACTTGCTGAATTATTATAGTAAGTTAATCGCTTAGTTGCAGATTTTATTTTTAAAAAACAAAAATCTCTTTCAGTTTGGCAACTTTTTCCTACTTACAAAAAAGATTTTTTGTAAAGATGTGACGCCATCTTTGAAAAAAGAAAAAAGAAATCTTTGATAGATAAAATAAACGAAATGACCATTGGTTTTTATGAACATTTAGTGCAATAATTTATCGCAGTAATAATTATTTGAATCATTTGACAGTAATTTTTTAAATATTTTTTTATATAATATATAGATATATTAGTAACAAGAATTAAAAAGATTTTTGAAATTATCTTAATGTTTTTTATTGCAAGTATGCCACTAAGATTTGCCACAAATTATTTTAATTGTTCTTAACATTTGCCAAAACACTCTGATTAAAATTCAAAGAAATATATATATATTTTTATAGATGCAGTTACAAAGGTGAGGGGCATGTCTTTTAGTAATTTAGTAATATTTGTTGAAACTTAAATTGGAAATTGACTTAATTGAAGCTTAATCCCAAGATGAATAAAAATTTAAACTATTTTTAATAGTTTGGTTTGTCTCTCTACGGTCATTTTTAGCACACTTTAGGCTAATTAAGCAGCGACCTACAGTTTAACGTGGATTCCGAACCACTAACAAACATCCATGGCCCCTCCAGGATTCAAACCGTTTTTAAGGTATCTGATAAGCAAAATTGAAATTTATTAATCGAATGAATGTAAAGCAAAATGAAATAAGTTGGTTAATGAGAAGATGTACTTATTTCTATATAAGCCTAATTAACAAGGAAATAAACTTAGCGATCAATAAGCAGTTGCATTACAAACTAAAATAATTTGTCTCCTAGTTGGTATCTCACGATATGTAAAGTAAATATGAATTACAAACTTGAAAAATTAATAGTATGGAGATGGAATTTTGAAGCAATTCGAATTTCAGGTAAGAGAATTACATTTTGTACTTACGTTATCCTGTGTGTTGTCAGTGAGCATGACAAAGAGTTGGAAGTCCATTCCCTTGTGTGTTCCTCTGGGTACAAGCATGTGTTCTGGCCATCCGCAGCTGCAGAATTCGCTGGCGTCAGCGGAAGCGCTCTGGCCGGCCTTCAACTCTTCGAAAGTGTAAGTATGGGACAGAGTGACAGTGGAATCGATAGCATTGCGGCTGATGGTATTGGCTCCTGGTGCCACTGAAGCAAATGAAAAGAAGGATTTATGAAGCGAGCGAAAACTATCTGCGAATTTCTGATTACATAATAAATCATTTTGCAGCAATTTATACAAAGTTCATGGTTTTATAATATGCCAGTAATTGTGTTCTTCAATGAAATTTTGGAACTATAAACAATACATAATATAAAATTATATTTAACATAAAAGATACCACAAACTACCAACGTTTAAATCATATAAATGTTTTATGATAATATAATTTTGATTCAATCTCATTTTCAATTAGGTTTGGTTTGGTTTGTTGCTCTACTGTCATTTTGTGCACACTTTAGGCTAATTAAACCGGGACTTACGCTTAAATGTGGATTCCTAACCACTAATAAACATCCAAAACAGGATTAGAACCTGAAGCACCAAAGGCCAGAGCGCTAGCCAATTGGCCATCATTTACATTTAGGGATTGAATCATTATAAAAAGTTATCATATTACATTATACATGTTTTTGCAGTTAACCATCAGTCGATTACTTTAAGATATTTTAATTAATTAATGAAAATATTTTTCTTTTATAAAAGTAATCTATCAATATTAAGTTGTTGCCACTCTCATTCATATAAATGTAGCATAATATAATTCAAGTCTCATAATCACAGTAAAAGCGAAATTATTTTTTAATTCTTTAAATTGCATAGTTTTATCTTAACGTGTAATATCTTAAAATAAAATAAGAAAGGAAGTATTTCTACGTTATTATTCTAGAAGACTTGTTCAGTAAAAGATTTTACATTGAAATTCACTTACATTGCTTGTGGAACTTGTCGATTTCGATAAAGAGAGGCCTCTGATCGTCAGGGGTGAGTCGGTTTCCAAGTTCATCGTATTTGGGGGCCAAGAAAACTCGAACAGTTGCATGTTGGGGAGCTCCACTGTTGTTTTCAACATTAGCGACGACGGAGAAAGGTTCGTGGTCCAGATGGTGATACTTGACCTGGAGAAATTATTAGCTTTTACATGCAACTTATTCACTTTTACATGCAATTTATTAACTTTTACATGCAACTTATTCACTTTACATGCAACTTATTAACTGTTGCATGCATCTTATTAACTTTTACATGCAACTTATTAATTTTTACATGCATCTTATTAACTTTTACATGCCTCTTATTCACTTTTACATGCAACTTATTAACTTTTACATGCATCTTATTCCCTTTTACATGCAACTTATTCACTTTTACATGCAACTTATTCACTTTTACATGCATCTTATTAACTTTTGCATGCAATTTATTAACTTTTACATACAACTTATTAACTTTTACATGCAAGAAATTATTAATCATTACAAGTATCTGATTAATATTTATTGCCTTACAAATTTTTTAATTTACATGTAAATGCTTTAAAGATTGAAATTTTACAGTAATAACGATAATTCTTTAAATTATTATTATTACTTATTATTACACACATGGAGAAATTCTTAACTTTTAACATGTTATACTATTACAAGTATCTGGTTAGTGTGCATTGCTTTAAGAATCTTTCAACTTATATGTAAATGCTTTTAAGACTGAAATTTTATGGTAATACTGATAATTATTTAAATTACTATTATTACTTATTATTATTATATTTATTCTTAATGGATTGATTTTTCTGTCTATTTCAAATTTTCTTTTTTTTATTTATTCAACACAGAATTGTTACACATTAAGGTATCAATAATGCGCTACATTATTTTTTTTAATTAAACATCTAACAGAAAATTATGTATATAACATCAATTTGAACTTATCATTGTCTTAATATATTGAAGCGAATTTTTCTTATAAAGGAGAAATTAACCCAAAATTAAATTATAAACCAAAGGAGTTATATACCAAAGACTAGATTAGTTTACTATATTTTTTTATACAAGCAGTGATATTAACATATCATTAAAAATATTCAATTCAATAAGGATGGCTTTTGAAATAATATAATACAAAGTATAACAAAGTAAATCAGATTTAAATATGAGTAGTTTCGAAGCATTTTCTGAAGGTTTTTTTTTGTTACCTTCACTTTGTGGTCAGTTCCAAAGTTGATTCCATGAGCGAGATTGAGCTCATCGTCTTTCATGAATGTTGTAATGACGTTTGAGCTCTTTCCCTTGACTTCACAGCTAACTACTTTTACACCGGGGAATGACAACTGAAAACGTGAACAGCATATTATATTTTCTGATATTTAGATTCATATGAACTAAGCAATAAAATAAAGCATTGAATTTCCTCAAATAATTTTATTTTTATCTTAGAGAACTTAAAAGAAAATGTACCCTAATTAATTCTTTTTATAAAATCGATTAGAACATAAGTTGCATAAATTATAAAATTATATAATGTTGTTGTTGTTTCTTATCCCACTTGGCTGCCCATACGTACGAATGATTGAAGGGAAGGAAGCAGCTTCTGTTGTGATGGAGCACCCTTAGGTAGAAGTCTGACTTTGGCTCCGTGACGCTCTTACAGTCATAGGAGACTGGGACCTACGGCTTAAAGTGGATTCCGAACCACTACAAACATCCATGGCACCGCCGGGATTCAAACCCGAAACCTGCGGCACCGAGCGCCAGAGCGCTAGACACTCGGCCATTCAGGTCCCTAATTTGTGAATGCCAACGGCACGCGGTGTTCCCAGATGGTCACCCACCGAAGTACTGACCGCGCCCAATGATGCTTGACTTCGGTGAATTACTTCTTACTGTAATATATTTAATCAAAAATTGCTGCAAAATATTTTACAAATGTATTTTACCATACCCCAAACAAATATCTAATATTTGAAACGAATATTAATTTCAAAGTGGATATTTAATTTTTGTCAATAAAAATGTATTCATTACCTGCTCCCAAGTATAGGGCTGCAGAGTTGCCTTGTATTGTTGGAAAATGTTGTCAACAAATCTGTGCCAACGGTAGAAAATGGGATCACGAAGAGAGGTTGAAGTATCACTCATAACACCGGGATTTTCCTATAAAAATACAGAAAATTAAAATATTAGAGTACTATTGTTAAAGATGTTATTCATTAACTACATTCTATTGTATCACTAATTTTTGCTTACTTGGAATCTGCCATCAGGATCATGCATACGTGCCATCATGACATGTCCCCAGTTATGGAGAGATCCGTAGAATTTTTTGTTGGGGGAATTTGAACTAGCTTCAATGATGGATCCCAAAATGTTGGCACCATTTGCTTCATCCAGAGCAAGTTCGTTGCCTTGAGAATCATGGACATGCTTCAAGTCAATGGCTTCCAGGATCCTGTCTCTCCATCTTTCCATGTCTTGGACATCGACTTCGGTGAGATCCCTCATGCTGAAGCCTTGAGGCCTGGAGGCGTAGTGCAAACCACTCACAAGGGAAGTCAAATGAGGAGCATAGCCTTCAAGTTTCTCTTCAAAGTTGTGGAAGGCCACCATACGGTTCAGACCATTGGACAATCGTTCGCAATCGTACCTTTTAGAAGAAAGAAGTGTCATATAGAGAACAATATTTTGTGAAAAGAAAAATTTATTCAGATTTAGTTTAACTCCTTCAACATTATTTGCTTCTAATTTGGAAAGAAGAATATTGGCTGATATGCAAAAGTTTTGGGAAAAAAAATCACAGGTGAGGCGATATGTATATTTTTTTAAACCATTTTTCACATATGAGCTGAATGTACTTTAGTCTTAGATTATTTCAGAATGTGAAATTTAAAATTTCGTAAATATAATTCTTTTACTTCAAGTATTCAGTTATTGTAATTCTCAACAATTATCAAAACTTCAAGAAGCATTTTTAAGTAGCTTTATATTAATTTTAAAATTAACTTTACAATATCACACAAAATTATTTAAATTTTTTTAAAATTATAATTAATAAATAATAAAAATGGGCATATTTAGCAGCATAATTTTTATATTTTCAAGCAATGATTTTTACAGCACTATGCATTAAAAATACTATTGTTAAAGTGTTAGTCTTTAGCTGTTCTATATTCTAAGTTAAATAAAAAGGAAGTGAAATGTGCAAATAGTATATGTAATATATTCATAACTATTTATTTTTATAAAATCAATAATTTTCTGCTCCAAGAAAAGAAATAGTGCTGTTCATTATAGATTTATATCGAAACTAATTTATTACCTGGCACACATCTGTTGATGCATGTAATAGAAGAGTTCTCCCTTCCTATCTTTTAGCTTTCCGGTAAGTTCTACGCTCCAGTTAGCTGGGTAAACAACGTGCCAGTGCCAATGGTGAGCATTGATGCCAATGTCTTCACGGAAGTAAGCCAATTTATATTCAGGCTCCAAGATGTTACCAGTATCCTCAATCTCAACAAGAACATCCTAAAAACAGAAGAAATAATGTTCATTGCACGAAGTCAGGAGATTTCGGAACTTTTGCATCAATCCGAAGGTATTTAGAAATTATATCATAAATTTTACATCTGAAAGAAAACAAGTCATGGACTAAATAATATCTTAAATGACATTTAGTATAGCTTTAAGTAACAAAAATTATACTTATCTTGAAGTAATTGGAAAGAATGGAAGAATCATAAAATCATTTGGTATTACAATATTTTTTTTTATTTCATTTACTGTTATTTTAAATCATCCAATGAGAAAGGTTAGAATCTTGATATATATCTTAGAAAAATGAGAAAATAAAAATAAAAGAAATCGCAGTACAGGATTACTATAGATTCTGAAATATCTGAAGTATATTCAGGTGAGACAAAATGTATAATTTGTTAAATGAAATAAATTTTTCAAACTACTACAATTGTTTGAAGTAGATTCCTTCTAGTAACAAAGATATGGATTTATATTCTTATTAAATATAGTTACCCAAAGCAATTAATATCAATTGAATGTCAATCCCAATAACTTTTTTGTTGATCCTTCATCATGTAGCAGAAGTCAGATTAGTGCACAGGTCAGTTACCCATAAAGGACGTTTATAAAATTCAGCGGTTGACAAAATTACTTACTAACTTTATAATGAAAAAGAGAAACTTCTAAAGCATAAAACTATTTTGAAGATTAATATTTTTACTTTTGTGCGTAAAATATAATAAAACTAAAATCAATGCCCCTGGAATTTCTTTAAGTATCTTTAACCCTCCATCCTATCATGAGTAATCCATGTGAAAATCTGCATAAATTTTTGACTTGTCTAAAAGGGATGATCTTTTTAACTAATTTTGCTTGCATAGTATATTGGGATAAGCCACAATCAGACTCATAATGAGAGGTTATTGAAAAATTCATCAAATTAGCTGTTATTCATAGTAGACTTACCTCGGTGGGCTTGTTCTTAGCTTCCTTAGATGCCAAGTTGATGGTTTCAGCAGGAATGAACCTGTCGGGGAAGACTTCCTGGATGGGTGGCAAAGTGACACCACGGCAATCATCCCTGTGAGCGATAGCCACAGACAGAGCGTAGACGAAGAGTCCCTCATTTACAACATCTCGGGCTTGCTGAGCGAGTTTCAGGAAGTCAGCGAAATCGGCGGCAGCTGAAAACAGGAAAACATTATTTATTTACAAACAATAAACATTATACTTGTGTATATATGTGTGTTATATAAAACGTATAATTGCGTGTAATAAACATTATATTTGTGTGTTATATGTTAATGCAGTTGAGATAACAATATAGATTAGTGTGGTTTAAGATTAATTTTATGAGTTATGGTTCATGCTGAAGGAAGAAAGATCAATTGCTCTTTTTTAAAATGCTTTTAAAGAAATCAGATCTTATAAATTACCTCTAATAAAAAAAGAAAAACTATCACAATTAAACAACTCTTAATCTTTAGGAAGATTCTAAAAGGATTTTTTTTTATTAAATATGATGTTGGAACCTATAAATTTTAGTTAACGTCATATCTCGACTTATAAGAAATAAATCCAATTAATTAGAACAGTCCGCTGAAATATATTGCAATAAACAATTAATATCTAGTAATGGCTTTTTAATTATCACAATTTTCGAAGCAAAGCTGGTTGTTATTGGACGCATTGTTCCATTTCTCCAAAATTCCCCTTTTTTTTTTCTTAGTTTTTCCTTCATACTCCGCTGTTTTAATTAGTCAATTCTATAGCTAATTTCTAAAGCAAACTCCTTGATCATTGATTATCTAATAGGAAAAAATAGTCTGATTATAAAAAGGAAAATCATGTCTATGTTAAGACTAATTATTATCATTTAACAGTTTCTGCAGACATGTTTTATTATTTAAGATACATGCCATCTACTTCAATCTGTGAAACCTTTGTTTCATTACTTTTTACTAATGAAAAGTTGAATTTTGATTTAATAATAATGTGATGTTTTGAATAACCATTAGCAAACAATACATTAACATAATACTTTTTGATAATAAAATTATTTCTTATATTAATGAAAAAATTCTGGTCCATATCATTATTATTAATTTAAATTATTACTATTAATTTCCAATCTTATTTGGGTACACATGTGACACACATGCAAAGAATGCAAACTTATAGTGAAATTCATATATTTTTCCTTTTGAAATGATTATAAATTTGTTCATTGATTACGTTTATTTCAAGGGATGGCATAATTTGCATAAAAAATTTTTAACTATATTGATGCCATAGAAAAACAACCTTTTTATTGAAGATAGACGGTTTTTGTTCAGTAACCGTAAAAACTGATAAAGTAGAGCAATATATTAGGGATTTAGTTTCAACGATATTTTCATCGCTCATAAAATTAAATCCAAAGAAATTTTATTTAATCCACTCATTTCAAACTAGATTACTCGAGATAAAACTATTGACACAATTACTTCAATTAAATAAAAAGCTATAACAATAAAATTTATGCCAAAGCACAATTTATTTTTACATTTTCTTTAAACAAAGGCTCCATTCAAATTTAATTACTATGAACTAGCTTTATTTCGTAATATATTTTTGTTCATCCCCAACTGGATTAACTTGATTATATTTGATCTTTAATAATTTGCATAATTTGATCTTTAAAATACTTTGATCTTTAATAATTTACATAATTTGATCTTTAATAATTTGAATAATTTGATCTTTAAAATACTTTGATCTTTAATAATTTGCATAATTTGATCTTTAAAATACTTTGAAATGTAATAATTTGCATAATTTGATCTTTAAAATAATTTGCATAATTTCATCTTTAAAATACTTTAATCTGCAATAATTTGCATAATTTGATCTTTAATAATTGGCATAATTTGATATTTAAAATACTTTGATCTTTAATAATTTGCATAATTTAATCTTTAAAAATACTTTGGTCTTTAATAATTTGCATAATTTGATCTTTAAAATACTTTGATCTTTAATGATTTGCATAATTTGATCTTTAAAATACTTTGATCTTTAATAATTTGCATAATTTCGTCTTTAAAATACTTTTTTAGCATAAGTATAGATATTAACAGCATAGGCTTTGACCTCATATTATAGATAGCTACCTCATATGATCGATGTACTGCATGTTATGAGATTATATCATAGATGTTAGAAATATAAATTGTAAGCATTATTTCAAGCAAACTGTGAAAAACTTACTGAAAAGGATTTCAAACAGCTTCGTGGCTTCCTTGAGATGTCTCTCATGGAAACAGGAGAACAGAGTTCCTCTGGGCAAAACTCCAACTCCGACCAATCGGGGATCCCTC